ATATATATATATATATATATATATATATATATATATATATATATATATATATATATGATGGATACCCTGTAATTTATTTATGTTTGCCGGATACGTGGTTATTTGAAATAACCCTAATTAGCATATTATTGTTAGCCAACTAATATTAGCTATTTAATCGGTAATGCAAGTTATATTTTTTAATCGGCAATGTACGTTATATTTTTTAATCGGTAATGTTAGAAAACAATCAAAAAGAACCTGCACATAAAAAAATGAATTTCAAGTCAGAAATGTTGTACAAAATAAACAAGAAGACTATTGCAGTAATAAATGATGAGAATGTTGATGCATTTTTTTATCCGAAACTTTGTTTCGGATAAAAAAATGCATCAAATTTTTTATCCGAAACATTCATGTTTCGGATAAAAAATTTATCAACAACAATAAATTGATAAATGAGCTTTAAGATATAAGAATACATTATTTTTGGATCTTGTATTTTTTTCTTGTTATTTTATTTAAGTGAAGCAATATTTAAAACAGCATGATGGTTTTCATTGATTTAATCATTTTGAGTACAATCTGTTTTAATGACAGAATTTTGATCGATTTCAAAGTTTGAATTGCCTAAAAGTAGATTAGGTTCTTAATAACTTCATTTCAGTAAAATTGTCAAAGTTAATTTTTTCTAAATAATTTCCATGATGAGTGTATACAAAAAAAGCAAGATGTTTAAATGTACTTTACTGCCACGCGGTCTTGAATCTGTGTGTAATAGGTGTGATATGGCTTTAAATTCACAATGACATTTTTCAATCAATTAGTTAAGGATAACATGGTCGAAAAAATATATAAATTATTTTGTTCCCAGTCAACAATCACTGCAATTTTTTGCAAAGTACCTTTAATTGAAGCTTAAATAATAAACTAAATGTTTGAAGTTTGCTCCATGTCTAAAAGCAAACAATGCTAGACCCACCCCTTAAGCTCTAAGCATCCACAATAGGTTAAGCATCCACAATAGATTAAACATCCACGAAGTATGGTCACAATTCTCCTTCTAGCTTTATCCATGAAAAACTAAAAAATATTAGATTACAACATAAGTGTTATATACCCTTCATATTATATTCCATTATATATATATATATATATATATATATATATATATATATATATATATATATATATATATATATATACATATATATATATATATATATATATATATATATATATATATATATATATATATATATATATATATATATATATATATATGAGATTTTTATTTTTAACTTTAAAAAAAGGTTCAAGGATGGCACACGGCCCCAAATTACTTTTTTTTTTTTTACTCTTTTTAGATATTTTTTGACCCCATGTACGCTACCCTTAAACAATATTGAATTTAATTTTTTTTCTATATAAACTCTCACAATGACTAATTTAAAAAACAAAATTAAGCACTCTAACTGTATTTTTTTCTCAATGCTGGAAAACTTATAGAAAAGTCAAAAAGTAGACCAAAAAAAAAAATTTTTTTTACATGTCTCATTGTATTTTTTACCTGTAATTTGGGTGATTAAAAAAATAAAAAAATAAATAAAGAAACTGATCGCGGCAACTTTTTTTGTGATCGAGATAGATAACTTGCAGAAAAGGAGGAAACTTCAAATTGGGTATGTTTATACTTATATCAAATTAGGATGCTTCGAGTCGAGTGATTGGAGTCTGGGAACAAACTTCAAAAGCCTCAAAACTTATGCCCCCCCAGCCCCAAAAGTTGTAAAACGCTAAAATATTATTAAATGAATTTTAAATCTGTCGATAAATATAAAGTTTAGATTAATAATATTGTTAAACTCGGTAAATTAATGCCCTCACATATGGGGCTAAGGGAACAAATTTTTGAGTTTTGGTTGTTCCCATTTTTTGGCTTCAATCTCTGAGATTTTCTCAATCACCAAATAAAGCTTTGTTACTGCTGCTTCCATCATTGAAAAGCCAATTAGTTATAACGAGAATAGCGTATAAGTTGGGGCAGCCACTACTTCTCCTTGCCTGTAGACGCCATATTTTGGAAAAATATATTACCTACTTTTATATAAAATACCCAGGTAGTAAAACGTCTGGTCCATAGAACAACTTTTTAAACACCTAAAATTTTTCTGGAATAATCTTGAAAAAGTCACAGTTCCATTAATGCAGATTCAAACAGAAACTTGATTAAATAAACAACATCTTGAGGCTGAGCAGTTCTTCAGAAATGTAATAGATAATAGGTTCCTAATCTATTGCATTAGGCATGATTCGTTGCAAAAGCGTTGTATTACCTTAAAATGTATTTACTAATGGAAACCATTCCAAATTTATCAGAAGAAAATAAATAAAAGATTCTTGATATCGCAATGTTTGTTGGCATTTTTTACACTCAGTGGTTTCTTAAAGCAGTATAGCCAACTGCTACCCCGTATCAGGTTAAAAGTAATTATTATAAATAAGAAAACAGCGTAAAAAGTAATTAGTTAATTGTTTGATTGATGACTTAATCTAATACTGTTAAAATATTGCATAGGATATAAAATATCATGTCTGATAAGATTGGGCATGGAAAGAGTGATTTGCAATGACTTAAGTTCCCTTCACAGTTCTGGAAGTTCAACAATTTTTATTTTGAGTTTGAATCTCCTATTAAATCCTATGATGCGGTAAATGACATTTTCGAGAGGGCCATTTATCTAGTTAAAGAATTGATCGGAAAATTAAACAAAGAAAAAAAGAGACAGGATTTGTCCTTGCTAAACTATGTTTACAAAAAAAGTAAACAAGGGGCAAAGAAAAAAGATTTAGCATTGAATGTAACAGAAAAAATTTTAAAACGGTGAATGTTACTAATTTAAAGTCTAATATAGTATTGCGCAAAAGAGTAAGCGGACGTGTTTTTTTTTTTTTTTTTTTTCTTTGACAACTGGAAATAAAGTTTAATTTAATTTAAAAAAAAAATTAAAATACACTTGTCGAGATTCAAAAAATGTTAAAGGAAATTTTTTCTGATTATAAAAAAGAGACTGCAGCTATGTTTTATAGAATATAAAAAAGAAACAGCAATATTATTGAAAGAACAAGAATTGTTATCGACATATTAAGTGCAAACACAACGATAATCAATGAAAAACTAGACAAAGTTGAAAAAAGTTTAATGACCACGCTAGCAAGGTAATGGTATTAGTTAAAGATGTAGACAATTTGAAGTTAAGATTAAATTTCCATGACGAGTTATTTGATAACTTGCCATTATTAACAAACAAGCAATTGAACGCTCAAAAAAAGATACATTGTTAAATGAAAACAACAACAAAAAACACAGAAAATTAGAATTGATCCAGAAGAAAGAATCTACGGATCAATGGATTGCCAAAAAACGATAAAGAAACTTGGAATAAAATGGAAGATAAAGTTCAATTACTTTTCAGAAATAAGTTAGGATTAACTGGAGTTGATATTGAGCGTGCTCATCGAACTTGATTTAAAAAAAATGGACGCCCCAGAACAATTGTATTAAGTTTGTTAAGATATAAGGACAAAATAAAGATTCTCCAAGAATCCTACAGACTCAAAGGAACTAACACATACGCGAATGAACTTCTCCTTTGAAACTGTGGATATAAGAAAAAGATTATTGGCTGATGTAAAGGAAAGATGATTAAACGGTGAAAATGTTTATGCCAGGTATGACAAAACTTATGTTTCAAAAAACTTAACTTAGTAAAAAAAATCAAACAAAAATTAACATATTTAATAATTATTTAACTTTTGTGGTATATATATATATATTTTTTAAAATGTCGGAAAATATTTTTTTAAATGTTTTTGATATCTCTACTAGAGAAAATACGGTACTTTTAACAAATGACAATGACCCTGATGTGAATTATTTTAACAATTTTTCAATAGAAACTAATTATTTTAATGTAAATGGAGCATCTAGTTATTTAAAATCTTCTCTATCTTGTTTTTCATTATTAAATTTGAACATTAGAAGCATGAGTAAAAACTTTGAAAACCTAAAGTAGTCTTAAACAACTTAAACTATAAATTTAGTGTAATCTGTTTAACGGAAACATGGTGTCAAAATGGAGATGAATGTAACTCTAATTTTTTGTTTATTTGGTTATAATTCAATACAACAACCTAGGAAAAATGGCAATGGTGGAGGCGTATGTATTTTTATTCTTCCTATACTTTTAAACAATCAAAAAACCTCAGTATTAATGACGCAGATTGCGAGGCATTAATAATTGAAATAATCAACCAAAAAAGCAAAAATATCTTTATAACTGCTCTTTACAGACCACCTTATGGTAATTTTAATGCGTTTGAAAACCACTTAAAGAATATACTATCAAAAGTCATTAAAAAAGCACGTTTACTTAACAGGTGATTTTAATTAATTAAAGATTTGAACCCAAATATCTTCACAACTTGAGTTGCATATTTGAAATCAAAATGAGAAATGCTATGCAAAAATCAATTTATTTGCTCGGCACCAGAAATTTTTTTTTTTTGTTGACCTGTGTAATTCATTTACTTTATTAAAATTTCCAAGATGATCAATGCAAAAAAATAAATAAATAAATAAAAGAGAGCAGTCAAATTTAACTTTTTTTAAGGTTACTTGAAGACATTTAAGGAGGTTTTTCTTTTTTAAGGATATTTAAGGTTTTTAAGGATTATACTGTAATATATAACATATTAAGCAAATAGTAATAGGATTACTACTATGATTCGAGTACATTAAACAAATTATGGTTAGCAAATAACAAAAAAAATTAAGTAAGGTTAGCAAATAACAAAAGAAAATTAAGAAAGGTTAGCAAATAACAAAAAAAATTAAGTAAGGTTAGCAAATTAACAAAAAAAAATTAAGCAAGGTTAGCAAATAACAGATAAAAAAAAAAAAAAGTAACAAAATCTAAAAGCTTTTAAAATCAAATATCCGCACTTTTATAACGACTCAATTTATGGTTTTCTCCTGTTCCAACAGGAGTTTTATATATTTGAAAAATAATTGTACAGAATGCTTTAAATTCTTTAAATAAACCGTAAAACAATAATTTAACATTGAAGGGATGGAGGTTTAACTAAAACTCACACACACAAAAAAAGCACCAATATAAAAAAACAAATTCACGCTGTGTAGCAAAATAAATGGAAAAGAAAATGATGTTATTATCCAAAAGAAAAGCAAAGCCCTGACAAAAATTAAACAATCATAGTCTATTTATCTGATTTTTTATCTCTTCCCAACAGAAACCTCAGGTTGTCAGATAAATAATGAACTCGAAAATTTTTCAGCAATTAAAAAATTTCATTTATGTTCACGTTCTTTCAAAAACTTCTTGAAATTTTTTTAATACAACCTTTTCTATTAAAATTGTTTTTCTATTATTGTCAAACGAAATTATACTAACTTTTTTGCTTCAAAGAAACCCTTCAAGTGTCGCATTTGCCAGAAACCAGTACATAATAAGACGACTGTTTGAAAAAGTGCCCACCATAAAACACGTGTATTAGTACTTTCGCTTGTATGCCGAAAGCGTTCCTCCCTATACTTTTTAATTAAAAAAAAAAGAAGATAAAAATTAGAAAAAAAAATGTAATTAGAAGTTTTTTAAAACTCAAAATGGATGCCGAACATCAGCGCCCCTCTGATCAGTTAAGCCAATCTTCTAACGATTTAGGCAAAAAACCAACTGTCATTTTGCCAGACAAACAACTAATACTAAGTTGCTGACTGTTTAGCAGGTCGAATGGGTGCTAAAATCCGGCACTTATTTTAAGTCATAGTTTATTGTAAAGTTAAACTATGACAATAATTAGTACAACAGAATACATAAAAAATTTAAGTTTAGGCATAAATAAAATAATATACTCGTTGATACGCTTGCTCTTTAGTAATCTGATCAACTTGGTCAAGGAGTTGTCTCATTCTTAACTGAAGTTCGGTAAGTTTATCCTTTGCAGCTATTTGCGCATAGTCGTTGGCATGTTCGCCTACTAAAATCTCCAAGTGAACCCTCTAAAAACAAAAACAAATTTGTTTTTTAAATTCATGACCTAACAGGGTTAAAACTAACAATAGATAATACCAAAAAACTTTAATATTAAATTATAAATAATTACTAATTATAAACAATTATAATAATTACATAAAAGATAGTGAGCTTACTTGTGGCAAAAAGACCTAGACTTATCTAGCAAAACTATAAAATTATATCATTCATGTTTTAATCAACTGAAGTTTATTACGTCTACCAAAGATAAAAAAACTCGACAATAACACTTTTCAGCTTTTTTGAGAAGTTGAATATCCTTTTTTTTAAGTAAGATGACCAGGCAGAAATAAACTTAAGACATGGTCATATGTACCATGTGTGTACGGTGTAACATTAATCTTTGCTTGGACCAAAGTTTAATGTTACCCTGTTATTTTTAAAATATTAACAACTAGCTTTTGCTACTAATTTTTTAACTGAAGGTTTTCTTTTATCTCTAAGTTCTTTGATTTTGAAGATGAAAATATAAACAACTCAGTTAATTATAATATAATTTACAAAAACACCCACTTATTTAACCATTTGACACATTACCAACACAGCTGTTCAATCCGCTCACAATTTAAAATATAAACATGCGAGAGAGGCTCGCAAGTTAATTAAATAAATTTTATGTCAAACATAAAATTGACTTGAATTTAATTGCAACACTTTTATTTAATCATTTAAAATTACATTTTTGAGTTTGTTTTCTTGATTTAAGATTTTTGGTTTTAGCTTTTGATGTTTGAGTAATTTTAGATTTAACTTTTTGGTTTGCTGAATTTTATTTATTTTTCTGAATTGCATTTATGTTTTATCCTTTTCTTTTTTGTGTGTTTATCTAGTTGTTGGGTTTTTTCTTTATAATGATTAAAAAATAATTATTGATTGGATGTTTGTTTTGCTCCAATTAAAGCAATTAAATCATTAAAAAATAGAAGAAAAAGAAATCAATTACTTTTTTATGCTTGCCATTATTGTCTGATTATACCATGCAATTAGCAACCATCTTGGGATAGACCTAAACAGGAAAACAGGGTTTGAAGCCCTGATTTTTGAACATTTAGGGAGGTTTAGTCAATACTTGTTTAAAATGAATTGTGTCATAATTGACTTGTTACTCATACATGATATAGACACATTGCTAAACGACAGATGGGTAGCGGCTGCTTAACAAATCCTAATGCTGTCTGCTTATGCCAAAATCAGGATCATAAATGCTCCTGGTAAATTGAATGCTGTTACTAATTATAGTTACAAATATTGCCATTTTATTGTCCAGAGATCTTGCTTTTGTTTAGTGTTACCAGTAACTTTATAACAGTAACTTTACTAAACTTACACTAGTGTTTAGTGTTAACAGTAACTTTACTAAACTTACACTAGTGCTTAGTGTTAAAAGTAATTTTATTAAACATACACTAGTATTTAGTGTTAACAGTAATTTTATTAAACTTACACTAGTGTTTACACACTTGCGGAAAGTGTGGAGTTTTCCTCCACACTGGTGTGTAGCTATCACTCCTAGACACAAGTGTGGAATTACTTTGCACAATTTTGTGCAAATAACTCCACACTTCTGTGCAGAAGTCGAGTTAGAAAAAATTTATTTCTACAAAAGTGTGCAAAATAACTCCACACTTGTGTCTAAGAGTGATAGCTACACACCGGTGTGGAGGAAAACTCCACACTTTTTGCAGGAGTGTAGTGTTAACATTAACTTATTATTTAACTATTAGTTAACAATGATAGTCTTTTTAATGTACTTTATATGTAAACCATTAAAGTTAATATGCTTAAAAAAATAAAAAAAAAATATTTAATGAACAATAATTTTTTATCTTAAAAAAAAAAACTTTATCAATTTTATAAACAGCTTCTTTAAACAATCAACAGACTTTTTGTTAAATATATATTATATTTAAAATGCGTAAGTATTTACTATACAGTTTTTGTATGGAAACTTACTATTTTTAAATAAAATGAACAACTATAACTTAAATGTTATAAGTTAAATGTATTTTTTAAACCATTATTTAAACAATCAAGTTGTTGCTTTATTGATAATATAATATTATAAAAACATTTGTAAAAAAAAATTTAAAGTATTTATTTGGGTGTATTATTTGTATTATTTGGGTGGCCATATAAAAACGCTTTCCTGACCAAGGCTGTTAACCTTAATGATGGTTGCTTGTAGCCTTGCTGGGAGTGAATCAAGATTAAAAAAAACAAAAAACACAGTAAAGATCTTTAACATTGGAAAAATAATAAAACGATCACATAGTTCGGTGCTAACAATCATCAAAAGATTCAGAGAGACAAAATCCTACATTGATCGCCATGTTCTGGAATACAGTATGACGACACCCAATGATGATCGCCTTTTAATTAGATTGGCAAAGAAAAATCAAACCTTCGCATGAATTAAGAAGGGAATGGAAGCTTTCAAATGGACATCAAGCATCAGCATCATTTGTGCATAGGAAACTAATAGCTAACAATATGCTATGGAAAAAAGCTGTTCTAAAACCGCAACTTACCAAACAACATAAAAAAGCCAAAAGAATTTTGCCAAAGTGTCAATATTGAATATTGAGGTTGATAACCAAAAAAACCGAATTATGACTTGCAGGCAGCTTTCAGAAAAATATAATCTGGATTGTATTGCTCAAAGAACAAAATAAGGTAGCGGATTGGTTGGAATATGGTGTTGCATGACATATTCTGGTCTCGGTATGGGGTAATTCCGCATCAAAACACTAAAAATTTAGGAAATTTTGGGTGTTTTGATGAAAGTTTAGGAAATTTTGGGTGTTCCTTTTTCTCATATTTTTTAAAAACTTTTTTTTAGCTGTTGCATCTTAAAAAGAAAAATTAACACATAAAATTTCAGCTAAAAATATTGAGAGGTTGACACTGCAATTTTAACATTTACCTGACAAGATACTGCAATTTTAACATTTACCTGCTTTCCCAAACATTCTAAAAAAACATTTTTCTTAAAAAAATAAGAAATAAAAATGGCTAAAATATGAAAATAAACATATTTAATGTTTTTTTGATGCTGAATCTAATAAATGCAAAAATATAAAAGGAACATGCTTAAAAGTTAATAAAATAACTAGTTTCTATAAACCAACTTTGGGGCCCAATATCTCAAACCACCCCCGTAAAAATTTTTTTTTTTTTTTTGCTGTTAATATTTTCAGATGCTTATAATCTTACTAGGCACAAAATATATAACTTAAAAAACAACTGAAACATATGGAACTTTAATTTCAAATATATTAAATTTTCAATAAATTAGTTTAAAAAACTTGCTAATGGAATTCTGTGAAATATTAAATTTAGTTTTAAGACTCCATAGAAGAAAAAAACAAAACAATTTTGTTATACTTAAGGAAATCTTAATTTTATAACTTAGTTATTTGATCTTAACAACTGAAAAAAACATCCTGTTTTGTTTTTAAAAACTGACTAGGTGTGATATTGAAGTGCATTTGTTTTTAAAAATTTGACAACTATATTTTGTAAATGTATAGAACAACATTTATTGGTAAAATTTTATTTAAATTTTAAAAATTTGATATATATATATATATATTTATGGATTGTATAAATATAAATATCTATAAAGAAAATTAACAACATCTATCAGTGTAAAAAATTATACAACAGAAAGATTCTGAAAAGATTTGAATTATTTCTATATTAATTTTTTTTTTAACTTAAATTTAAGTAGAAAAGAAGAACTCACTTTTTTTTAGGAAATACATTCATACTAAGTTATTTATTATAAGATGTGTTCTATTGGTTTATTGAAATCAGATGAATGCAAAGGCCAACATGATGTTATCAAAACTTTAAGCAATCAAGAAAAAATAACTATATCATTACGCTGTAATATTGAGCTATCAAACTTAACAATATTATGCGAAAGACATACTACAAAATATTTGAAAATGTATCCTATATGGCAGAAAGCATGTTGTGATCCATTCAATAAACATACAAAGAAAATCACAAGTAAGTAGATGTAGAATTTAAATATTTTAACATATATATACTTTTTTAATTTGTATTTTCCAAAACATAAACAATGTTTTAACAATTGTACAGATTAGCTGTATACAATTTAATTATTTTTAGAAAAAGAGTAGTTATGATAAATGAGTCACAAGTCATGATGAGAAGTAGTTTGAAAATTGCTTCTGGGAAGAAACTTTGCAAACTTGTAAGCAAAAGATTGCCAGAAAAGAAGATTTTAAACAAGAGAAGCAAAGTCAGGGTGAACAAGATGAGGATTTCCTAATATTATCATTCAAATCAAAAAGACAGGAGATCAATGAAGAACTCCAAAATTTTAATATATCTCCTCTAAAATCTCATTCAAAGTCATCAAAACATATACTCTCAGAAGGAAAGCGAAAAGTTGCACCCATCAACAAAATGGTAAGTAACGTTACTAGAAAAACTGAAAGTCAAGTCAATGTTTCCTCAAAACTGGCCTGAAAGAGACAACTACTGTTTTATTCCTAACACCAACATGTTGAAAAAACTATCTGTTCCTCATGCTTGCTCTAGTTCCAGTAGAAACTATGTGTTTAAAAATGCTGAAATAGAAAAGTACAAGTAAAATGGGAACAATATTATGGACTATTACAAACACATTCAAAATAACTTACATCTTTGATAACTTTAAAAAGTCTTGTATATTTAAGTATTTTTTTAAATTACTATTCACTTATTTTTATTTTATTTACAAATATTTTGGGTGAATTTCAAGAAAAAGTAATACATTTTTGAAATTAAAGTTCCATATGTTTCAGTTGTTTTTCCAGTTATATATTTTGTGCCTAGTAAGATTATAAGCAGCTGAAAATATTAACAGCAAAAAAAAGAAAAAAATTTTGACAGGGGTGTTTTGAGATATTGGGCCCCAAAGTTGGTTTATAGAAACTAGTTGTTTTATTAATTT